CCCCCCCCCCCCCCCCCTCCCCCCCGATATCGACTTTTGTTGTTTCCGGATCTGCTTTTCAAGGCAAGGGTGTCCGGCCTGTACAACGTGGAGGCAGACGGAAGGTGCGTGTGAGCACGGTCGGGGGGGGGTCGGGGGTAGATTGCTTTACACGACACGCAAAAATGCCGCCGAGCTGATGACAAGCCTTCCCAATCTTAACGAGGAAGCACGGTAGTGAATAACAGAATACTACAATGCAGCTGACCGACGCTCAGCTGGCCGCGGCCACAGCCATGGCTCCTGCAAAAGCGATAAGCGAATGTTCGCTCCGAGCTCCGCAGTCGGAGCGGTAGCGGCGAAATAAGCCATCGGGCTTGCGTACTTATGGAGGAGGTGTTTGACCTCCGGCGTCAGTTCGTCACTGCCGTGGAAACGTTCCTGTGCAGCAGTGCCAGATCAAATGGGTACACCCGTATGAGTTGCGCTGTTTTGGGTTTTGGTACTGGTGGGACTATTGGCGTCAGATTCACACAGAGACGGCAGGATACCGTGGACAGGACTGCGGCGTGTCAGTGCTTGGGCCATGCACGCTGCAGGCATTTTGTTTGTTGAATTCAAGGAACTTTCCTGCTTCCTTTGGTTCTGCGCCGTCAAAGGCTTGCATCGCCCGACAACGGAGGGTTGCTGTTGTGGTTGTGTTTGTTTCTTGTTCCATTTGTTGCGAAGACGTGCGTACTCATTCCCTGGAGTTCCAAGAAGAAGCCGTTCGACCGGACTCATCGAACAATCCTCCCCCCCATTCGTTCCGAACTGCACGTCGCCCTCCCTCTTCCACCGCACCGGCACACCAATCTGCTGCGCATGAACCAGATGCGAGGTTGAGATGACCGGAATCGCTCGGTGTAGCGTCAAGACGATGTGGATGAAAGGGGAGAGCTTCGGACTGTTCGAGGCCGAGGTCGAGCTCTTCGGCGACGAACAGGCCAAGGCAGAGGAGGAGACAGAGGTAAACACGGGGACGGCCCCCGAGCAGCCCCGGGATGCAACTGTGGACGCTGCGGGCGAAACGTTTGGCCAAGAAGGTGCGGGCGTGGTGTGGCTTGGGCTTTGGGTGGGTGACTTGCAGTGAACCGGGTTCAATGTTGACATGGCCGTTTGTTTGTCTACCTATGTGTTGAAAGCGAGCGGTAGGGTTCCTTGTTGTGCATTCGCTGCGGTGCACTTCGCACGCGAGACACCGCCGCCGCAGCAGCAGCATCAGCATCAGCATCGCACAAGGCGAGGAAAGCTACCGACAACAACTGCGAGCAACCACGCTCGCATATATTCTGAAATTTTGATCCTGACGATATTTTTGCCCTTTCTTCTAACCACTGCCGATTCGGTCTTTGCTAACATCGCAGAGACCGGTGGAACCGATCAAGTTGGTCGGAAAGGAAAGGGTGCAGGTGGAGATCGCGGCGACGGGGAGAGGCTGATGGCAGAGCTGCCGGAGTTGGAGCGGTTGCGAATAGAGGTGGGGTTGGTATATTATTGGGACATGGACGGGTTCGTGTTATCGTGTGTCGCACTCCAGACTCTAGACGGCAAGTGTGTGGCCAAAGGCACAGAAAGGGAGGGGGTTGTTAGTGGCATGGTCAGAAACGTTCTGAGAAACGTTCGTGTTGGTTAAGCCGACGACGACAGCAACGGCTACGTTGCCGTCCTGCTGCACGGTCGGATCAACCCATGGCCTCACGCCTCGTGCGCCTTCGTTTCCCTGGCTTTCTTCTCTTGACTTATGTTTTCACCCCCCCCCGTTTATGTCTACGATGATTCCTACGATGTCACGTTCGCCCCATGCATATACAAATCCACCCTGGGGCAGGTGTCCGCCATCATGCAGAAGGAGCTGTACCGCACCCGAACACGGGGTCGCTCCCCGCTGTGGCCCAGCTGGGACGGGTCGGTTTCCCACGGCGACGCCCAGGCGGCCCTCACGGTCACCTCGCCGCCGCTACCAACCCCCCTCACTATCAAGACCGCTGACGATAGCGTCGAAGCCGCCGCGAGCAGCAGCAGCGGCGACTGCTCCAACAGTGCCGTTGACGGCGGTGGCGGCGAATACGACACCGTTGACGGCAACGGCGGCGGTGAGATCGGTGTTGGCGACAAGAGCAGCATCGGCGGCCTAGACCCATGCGACCTCGACGCGGAAGCCCTGAGCTACTGGGCCGCGCACAACGTCGAGGCCGGCGCCCTGATGAAGCACGAGTGGCTCTCGTCCACCAGCACGGCGGCGCGGCTCAGGGGCGTCCGAGACCTGTGCAGGTTCGCGCTGGCGAGGCACCGGGACCGGAGCACGGTCGACGGGGGCGTGCTCTCCCGGCCGCTTTCGGCGTTGCGCGACCTCACGTCGAGATAAAAGAAAAGCGTCGCAGATGAGCGAGGCGGAAGCATGTGATAGCCTAAGGGCAAGTGAGCTTTGGGTGGCAGGGGAGGCAGCTATGCAGTCCCATTTGCTACGCATGTATGAAACCTGAGAGGTGTGCATGTTTGTCCCCTTTGGTTGCTGTGTAGTGGGGGCAGCGGCAATGGCGGCGTCCCGTCTTGTTTTGCCGCGCGTACAAGAACGTTGGTGGTTTGATGGTAAGCCGGGGTGCTTGCTTTTGGGGCGACGTGTCGCTGTGATGATGAAGAAAAAAAAAAAATGTGGTGCGGGTGTGGCTGCAGGGGGTATTTGGGCTAGAGAAGCCGTGAAGAATCTCACACGCGCCACTTCCGTCGCGCCAGATGCCATAGAAACGCCCTTTTTTTGTTCTGTTGGGTTCAATGTGGTTCGGTTTTTGTCTAGCGCGCGCCCCTCCCGGCAATCGACACGAGCAGCCCTTCGTTGTGTCTCGGTCGTTTTTGACTTGAAAACACGGTGCGTGAAAAATATGGCCCCGTCGATGTACATGGTTTTCCTGGGGTACCCCCGAGGTGCGGGTATATGGGATTTTAGCCGGTCTGTTTTTTTGTTTAGTCGTTGGTCAACACTCCGGCTTCGTTGGTAATGCCTACTTGTTTCTAGACAGTTGACCATGCACAGACAAACCGAAAGTCGTCTTGAGGTCCGCCTGAACCTCGACGACTCAAAACACAGCAGCATAGACGTCTACTAGCGCCATACAAGTAGGTGGGGAACCCATTGCAATTGCCCCTTATTTTTTTCTCGCTCATACTTTCGTGGCTAGATCGTGTCGCAGGGTCCTGTATGCAGCCGCGGGTTGTGAACAAGACGTCACATGCCACCGGAATTGTGTCCGGAGCGACTTCCGTGTGCTGGTTATTTCTGCTAGTCCTCGAGCTGTGCCTCTCGCCCACATGGGAACCAGCCACGCCAGTTTTTGGGCAGTTACCGCCGGTTTTGGGGCAGTTATTAGAGGGATTTCCAGGAGATGCGAAAGTTCGCCTGACCTTTTGTCATGTTGTTCATTAGCGGTTCAGTCGTATATACGAGCATGTTTGATACGTTGGAGCCATCATTGTTCCCTTGATGAATTCCGCTGCCGTGTGGAGACAAACTGAAGCCCCTCGGGCTCGTCCATTTTGCAAGCGGTGTCGTAGACCGGTGCACGGACCTGTTTCATACCATATTGTCAGCGCACACTTGGCCAGTCGCATAACTGCCGCTCCATGCCTACTATTATAGCGCATGGCGGCTGTTCCTCTTCGCTGGGATTAGAGGTAGGAGTGGCTGTGCTCTGGCTATGCCGATGCCTATGGGTCGGTTGACTGGGTAGACCTGGTTCTTACGAAGTCGTAGAGCGTCTCGACACCGTCAGTGCATGACGTATTGCCCGAGCTTTCTTGTAAGTAGGGCAAGAGGCAAGGAGTATGTTGGACATTATCCCCACTGGCTCCGGCCTGGCGCCAAGAGAGAGAAAGAGAGAGAGGATTGTAGTGTTGGGGGTTGTGTTTATCTTCCCGGGTCAAATTTTGCATGTATATACCACGTGACAGAAAACAATAAAACACAAGTCTACAACACCCTAAAGTCTCTCGGATTTTTGAGGTGACGTTTTCGGTGGCACGCCAAGTCGTAATGCCTCACGCCGTCACTTCGGGGGGGGAGAGGGTGGCACTCCCGCAGATGGATTGGGCTATATGTCACAGCCGTTAGTTGCGCAACATCCGCGGGGGTGCGCCAATAGCTGGTGTCCAATAAGCACGAGACTCTCTCCCAGGAAATCGATTTTGCCACAGGCGGAACACCGGCGGAAACGCAGCGTGTCTGCGTTCCGTCCCCGTTGAGAACACGGAATCGACCACGGGAGCATTACAACACGGTTTCCGTATTCTCGTATGGTCACTCCATCCAACCCCTTCGAGTAGCAATCGCCATGCCTCTTCTCGTAGACATAGTAAGTGATATTTCACATTTCTACTTGAGATTTGTTCCGAGGTGTCCAAGGAACGCCTTCATCCTGTTGTAGTTGACGTTGAGGTCGCCCTGCCCCACTCTCAACTCCGACTGCACCCAAACCTCGGTCGCTCCCGCCTTGTTCTTGAAGATTTTCACCTGTCGTGGTGAATAATGTTGTGGGGTCGCATTGAACGAGGGCAGCGCTACTCTCCGATCCATCCATCATTCGAAGGACATTAAAAAAAATAAACCCAAAGATTTTCAGGAGGGTGAAACAACAAGTGAACGGTGTCGATTCACTTTTCAACACCTTGTACAATATGCGGGGCAAACGGTAGATATAACCTTTGGGTGGAAGACATACATATATTATTTATTTGAGCTGTGTTCCGAGGTGTCCTAGGAACGCCTTCATCCTATTGTAGTTGACGTCGAGGTCGCTCTGCCCCACCCTCAGCTCCGACTGCACCCACACTTCCGTCGCTCCCGCCTTGTTCTTGAAGATTTTTACCTGTTGGAAATTTTGAGAGTTACGTGCCGCGTATTGAACAAGGGCCTGGCTACTCTCCGATCTTGCGGAACGACTCGGAAATTCCAGAGTTTTTCGGGAGGGAAAATAAAACGGGAGATCGGTATCGATCCGCTGTTGAACAACAGCTTGGCTGGGGCAAGCAACTTCTCGACAGATACTTTCTTCAACAATCGAAACAAAAAAAAACTTACCCCCACGCTATCGGGGAAGCCGAACAACAAAGACAGGCTCTTCGCGTGCAGGTAGCCCGGCGTGTCCGTCTCGATCGTCGTGCGAGGTTGCGATTCGAGCCATGCTTTGGCCACCCCCTGAGCGCGCGAGTACACATGAAAGTGAAAATGCAGCAGCAACGTGAGCCTTACAGAGACGGGGGTGGGGAGGGGGGGGGGGGGCTAACGGAGAACCAGGATGGGCAGCAGCAATTACGCAACACCTCCCGTGTGCAAGGCTTGGCTTTCGTGACGTGTGCGCATGAAGTTCGGCTTTCCATTTGTCCAAAGTCCGTTCGAGCGCCCAGAATCAGCAAAATCGCTCCACGCTTACCCCACGCACACCACCCCTCTGGCACGATATACTTCAGTCTTCTTCCTTGAACGACAAGATACACCGACACGCGCAAGTGGCACAGGACACCCACTGTAGCCAAGGCTCAACACTCTAAACCTCAACCGTCCCCGTCCTAGAGCTTGCTCGCCTGGACTTCATCCACGCTGGCCTTGAACGTAGGCACGGCGATGCCCTTGTTGCCTCCGGTCTCGGCAACCCTGGTGCAGCCTTCCGGGTGGGCACTGCCGCGATCGTGACCCGCCGCCGTTACATCCGAACAAGCAAAACAGACGAGACGGAAAATCGTTGAAACTGCCGTGCTGTTGCAGAAGCTTCAAGTGCAGGCGATGCAGTGAACACCTTAGAGCTGTTGTTGTTGCTGCGGCTACAACATTGAAAACAGGGAAACAAGAAGAATGAGTAGAACTTGGAGGTTACCCACGGAACAGCAACGGTAGGCACTATCACCACCATCACCACCGTTAGAGCTAGCGAAGACAAGAACAAACAAGGCGGGTTCGAACACAACCGGAAAAGCACTCCCTGTTCCTCCCTAGGCCTCCTCCCTCCCGGCCCGTCTGTGGAGCCTTCCATGACATCGGTGAACGGGCCTGAGCACGATATTTCTCCAGAGCCACGAAATTATCACTCAAGGGTTCTTTCCTTCTCGCGTTCAAGCGAAGTATCTCTCACACACACCAACCGACTGGAATCGTTCGATTTTCAGTGCAGACTGCCGACATCACGTCGTCACGATGTAAGACGAAACTATCAGAGGGTGTGGGAGGCAAGGAGTGCGGGGTTCATGCCGTGGGACTGACTCGCAAAGTTGCAAGCAACCAAGGACGCACGAAGTTCCTACACACACACCTAGAAAATACGTGAGTGTCTGTAGGAGGGGAACGTAAGGGTGCCAAGATGCACAAAAACATAAAAAAAAGAGACATTACTTTGTCTCAAATACATGCCGTTGGCGGTGTCTAGGGGGAGAATGTAAGGTGACAAGCCACAACATTGCTGTTGCCCCTCACATGCCGGTGGGGAAGGAGTCGATGTAGCGGGTGTCCGGGCCGGCCGTGTAGGTCCTTACGCCGAGCATGGTGACGGTGAGGAACGTCAGGACCGACCCCACCACGCCGGCGGCGCTCTTGATGGCGCCCGAGGACTCCGAGATGGGCGTCTTCAGCACCGTCGACCTTGTTTGACGTGTGAGGGGTGCGTTGTGGTACATGGTCGCCAAAACAGGAATATACGAGGGTATGAGGAGCACGAGGAATATTTCATGTATGCAGGGTGCTCATGGGTACGATGTAAGGCGAGCATGATTCGGGCTTGTGCTGCATCAATGTTTTCGAGCAAAGGTATGTACATGTCCCAGGGCCTGTGCTGTGCACGCATGCACACATCATACCGCAAAATTAAGACCCAGATAGGCAAGAAGCTGAGCATCACAACCCGGGAGCATTTGTCTTCCTAGAACGTTGTAGTCGTCCACTTCACCCCACCGCCATTCTCTCCACAAACAGCAGTAGCAGCTTCATCACCACGCCACCGTTGTTTACGATCCGCCGCCACCCTGCCCAGGGCATTTTCGGTTGTGGGAGAGGGGGGGGGGTG